AGACTCATAATTACAAGCAGTTACATCACCACCGCTAATCTCCACAAATAGCCACAGCATCCGCTTAAGTCTTTTCCAGCCTACTGTGTCTTCATCAGCCCAGCCATGACAACGGTTTCCAACAGTGGAGATTCTTCGGAGGTACATACTGTGTCCATCTTCAGGATACAAGTAGGGTGGGAAATGTTATGCACATGTATAGCTTCTGGCCCAACAATCCTTTTGGGGAAGGAGTGGGACTGGTGACTGGCACTGTCAAACAGGCACTATGGACATGAAAATATTATCAAAATAGCTCTCTGTGGCCCTAAATAAGGCTGTTTTCTTAACATGTCACTACCCATTCTTCCTATCAGTCCTAGTGTCCACTTCTGGTCAAAAATAAGATAATACACTTTTCTGATCCTCCATAGGCTTCCCTCACTTGCAAGTGTCAAGATATCAGAAAGTGTTTTGTTCTCAGTCACATTTAAACTGCAGCTGATTCCCTAACCTCAAACCCAGTGTCCCACAAAATAGCGCAGATGGACACAGTACACTCCAATACCCAGGTGGCAAATAACAATGAGAATATTTTCACCTTCCAATGTGGGTATATTTTCATTCCATCAAATTCTCCACAAATAAGAATATCTAACTAATTCTAAATTGTAATCAGCAGTAAAAAATTGTAACTATTGTAATTTTAATCTACTTATATATCAAACTGTTAATATTCAGAATTAACTTGACTTGTCATATATCATGTACAATGATCTACAGTGACAAAATAAATCAATCAATCAATCAATCATTTAGTCTGTATGTAAACCTATTGTTACTTATCATTTTTGAATGTCTTCTATCTATTTAATATTAAATTAACTGATTAATTTCTACAGACATTTAGCTTCCTTCAATTCCTCGGACTGCCGCTTACATTAAACTGCCTTACAGAACTGCATGATTACAGCAAAGTAGTATAGGTGGCCTGAAGCAGAGAAATTTATGTGGGTGTGTCTCCAAGTAATCATATTTCTCGGTAAACCTAAACATGATCAGCCTATCTGCATAATGGCATTCCTCTAATTTATTTGACCAGAGATCATACTGATTAGCGATTACTTATGGATTTGGGCTATATGAAAGTGGTCCATGCTACTTTATAATCAAATACTATTTATCAACATCACACATCCGCTAAGTAACTTTACAGATGATATGAAAGTCTTATCCTGAAATCAGGAAAAGAAACTACAAAGGTTCATGCCATTCCAGCAACCTGCTTTACAAATAATTGCTAGGTTTTATACACACAAAAATTAGGTGTGTAAGATTTAAAAGTTTGTGATGATGGTATATTAATACAATTACTGTGATTCTGGATGGGAGATAGGGACTAGCTCTGTCCATGGGGCCGAAATGAGTAGGTTCCACCTGAAGACAGAGACAGAATCCAGCCTCTGAAACGTTGAATTTTAAATAAAAACATGTTGATGGATAATGTCTAGTAAAAATAAAGCAAAGGTATCCTTGTAACAGGGTGTGTAGGCCCACAGGGTTGTGCGATGTCGAGGCTCACATTTTCTCTAGACAGTCCGCTCACACATGGCGGCAAGGTTGTCAGCCCTACACACAAGTCGCCCTTTACCCCCAAGAATATTCCTGGTACTCATTTCTGTTAGAGGCTGAGTCTACCCCAAGGCAAGAGTGCAGCTGGAAGGATTAGGTAAATTGAAAAAAAAATCCAATTACCTCATCGGGATTTGAACCTTCCGGCTTGCGACTTATAGCATAGTGCCTCAAAATAACTGTAGAGGTTACGAGTACCGAACAGAAATGAACGAAAACTACTTTTCCAATAAATTTTAGTTATCTAACTTCATCAAAATTAAACAATTCGTTTCAATGACAACACATGAAAATGGATCAACAGACAAATATAAGACAAGCTGGATATGGATTTCTTGCAGTGCTGATTACAAAGAGCATGCCTTCTGGGTTATAATACAATGTTGTTCAGACAGAAAACAATGTTTCGGAGGAGCATATCAACACCATCTTCAGTGCTGAGGCATAATCCAAGCAGTAAACTACTAAAAGCGGGCTACAAGATATGTTACCCTTGAAGATTGTCACGTTCAGGACTGGAGCACCACATACTTCAGAGAAAGCTCAACATTTTTGAAGAACATGTCACCTCCAATTTCAAGGTTAAAACTTTGTCTGTTTTTGCTAATTTCTTAATTGGCTTACTCTTCAGACCACAAAGTGGATGTGGTATGTTCCTTCAAAACTTTGGAGTATCTCCAAACTACATGGCATTACAATCCAGAAAGCTGCAATCTTCACATACAAGATAACCTCCATATTATGCATTCGTTTTATCTGCTCTGGGCAATAAAATCACAGAAATATTAAAAAATGTCATAAGGATGATAGAATGAATTTAACTAAACTACAGTTATTTCTTTACACATATTTACCTTACTTAATTACTTTACAATGCTTTATGAATCCCTGGATATTACTTGTAAAACCAAATTACCTAATATAGGATATATCTTAAAGAATTCATGAGTGAAGATGGAATGTTTTGATTCATATTTTGTCAGTTTATGAGCACCTGTATCTAATGCAACCATTCTTAGTTGCATATTCCAGCAACTCAAGCACACATAAGTTTGGTTATCACATTCTAGCATCTCATATTAATAGCCTATTTGAAGGCTATAATTTACTTTCACTAAACAACTGCATACAGACGCCCAACATTCATTTATCCTTCCACTAGGAACGATTATAAAAATACCCATATGCAGTTCAATGCTTTCTAAAAATAAAACTTTTAAAACTGATGTCTTGAGCATACACGGTATTCAAAACTGTCTAATACTGGAACACATGTAGGACTATAATACAATAAACTGAAATAACCTCTGTAACTCACAAACACCATTCCTTAAGGGTGGAAACAAGGAGTGGGAGGTTAAGAAAAACTGGTAACAGCATTCAAGCAACAGGGAAAAATCAACAAGGGTGGCCATCTAAATCTTCAAACCTTGAAAAGGAAACTGAACTACTTCAGTTTACTATGAAGCTGGAAGGAGGATTTTCCTTCAAAACACTGGAACTAACTATTGAAGTATAAGTGGCCACAGACTGTTATAATACCATCCATTTTTAACAACAGTGATGATCAGAACACAGAAATGTTTTGTTTTGCAATTTTGTATCATAAGAGAAACTGCAGTCTTCTGGATTATGACATATTTTATCCTTTAATTATTGTACCAACTTCCAGAAGAACATGCTATATCCATCTTCAGAGCTCACTTCTACCCTGAAGAGGGAGGCAAAATGTTCTTCCACATCAATTATAACTGCTTACAAGACAACATGGTGTCACAAACAAGAAAACCACAATTTAAATTTTCATTGCCTTAAAAACGTCTGAAGACCATGGTGTGCTGTCTAAGATGGGGGTGACCAGGAATGCATACAAAATTTTGGTAACGAAACTTTAGGAAATTTGAGAAGATGAGAGAGTAACATGAGGATGTGATGATGGGAGGCGGCATGGAATCGTGTTGCTTCTGCTATTACAGTGACTGACCTTCAGTGAAATTCATGTGAACACCTCCCATGGGTTAGACCTACTTGCATGAGAAACAGAGGCAAGTTACTAGACAACTAAATCGCTAATCTGAATACCTGCACCTTAATTATAATTCTGTCCCCGTATTCTATCCAGTACAACATTCTGCCCGTGCCACTGATTACATGAGCTGATTATGTCAACTCTGAAGGCGGAAGAAAGAGCTTCCGAACACGTTCTGAGGTATTAAGAACATAGAATGTTGGCCACTTGATTATCAAGCACAGGGACAAGTTTATAGATGTTTTATGAGTCACTAAATTATTTGTTCTTTGCTCTATAATCCCTTAATTTCCAGATCAGCTGTGCTTCACTTATGTATCTCTCCTTCATACTAGTGCCACACTATTGGCAGTGAATGCATTTTATGGCAGCTATGACCAATACCATTACTGGGAAAGAATGATCAAGCAAACTAGATCAAGTGGCAACCCTTCAAACTAGTATTTATGAAGTAACTGGTTACACACTAGTCTGATGGAGTTTTTTTTCTTTGTAGCTTTCCTCCAGCCCATCCAGGTGAACGCCAGGATAGTACTTCATACAGGCTACAACCATTTCCTTCCACATTCATTCGGTTCATTGTTTAGAATCCAATCATATTTTATTCTATAATCTGAGCTGACAGCAATGTTTAAATAAATCATAAAAAATAAATAAAAGTAGTAAAGAAAAGAATACATCAGAAGAATGGCAACATCATATAAAAGGACATTACATCATACATGCACTGAAAAATACAAGGCAAAATAATTCTTTGGTACACAGACTAATAATCATTTTCTTGAGAATATTCAAATTTTATTATATAACTGCCCATAAAGCTATGCTGTGGATTCTAATAACAATTCATTTCAGCTCAAATCCATGTGGATCCTGTGCCCTGATCCATACAATTATTTCCATACTTACATACTCTTCTATGCTCAAGATTGTGGCAGAAAATGTTGGTAAGAATGTGCCACAGTACCTGACTTCACAACTTCACTTGTCAATGCAATGATCAGTTACATGAAGCCTGAATTCCTTCCCTCCCTAAGATCTTTCAAAATACCAAGTGTGTCCAACATATCGCATATAATGGACAATGTCCAGTATAATCACACCGTAAATTTCAGCTGCAGTCTTCTGAGTTATGACATTATGTAGCCTCATAGGTGGTTAAAAAAATTTTGAAGGAACTTGCTACCTCCATCATCAGGGTACAATACTTTTTTTCCTAGTCTCCTAATACTTGTCCTCTTCTAATACCAATGGCAGGGGTACTAATGAAGAGACGACATCAATTTACGTTTTGTATGCACACATCAAGAAGTCACAATTTTTTTTATAATGCTGTGGTACATGAAAGTTAGCTACTTACCTGGGCTGTCTCATCCTCCAAAGCACGCACCCTAGCCAGATCTCGCAGTCGCTCCCGACGTCCTTCTGCCAACTGTTCCAATCGGTGAGCAGCACGATCTACCTCAATAAAGAGACGCTGTGCTCTCTCAGAAGACAGCCTACGAGTCAGAACACCCTGTAGTTACATCTCTCACAGTATACATAAGAGAAAAAGCACTGTACGTAAAGATACTTTGCCTAACAATTTAGGAATGTATGATAATCTCATCTCATCAGACAAATTTCTGTCACAACAGGAACACAAAATGTCTATCATAAATAAATTTTATTCTTGAATGCAAAATAGCTATTATAAATAAATTGCATTAAGTTCTTTCAGGCAGATACTGAAAGAGACCTGAAAATAGTCTAGGGCAGCTACCTACTCTACTTCCAATTTATATTACATATATATTTTACAATTCTGTTCGATCATAAATAATGTAAGTTATATAATAAATGAAACAATAAGTAACCTTAAATACAGTGAACATACATGACAGCAGTGAGTACCACTACACTTACTAGCAAGTAAAGACCACGTAAGTTGGCTCAAGCAGTAATGTTTCTGACTTCTGTTTGTGGAGTCACTGGTTCAAATTTATGCAAGGATATGAGCTTTCCTACGAGAATTCTTGTAGTTTTCATCAGCCCCACCAGGAAAATTCCATAATAATACCTCAATTTAGGACATAACCACTTCCTTCTGCATCCATTCAAATTAATTATTCATTAATTATTAAATCATTCGATACTATATAGCTCAAGCTGCTGCTGCTCATAGCATCATTAAATATACACTAAAATAAATAAATATATAAGTAAATAAGGGAAAGAAAGGAATACATTATATAAAATTATATTAAGCCATACATGCATTGAAAACTACAAGGCAAAGAAACATTTCATTACTTTGACTGAAACAAATGGAAATATAATTTTCTTAATGAACACTTCATGGTATGAGTGAATCAGTTATTTATGACAAAGACTTATTGGCCTCAGTTGCACTTCATTATGTCACACAGATCTGAAAGTCTGGCTGATGTTGATCTACAGCTTTTTAGCTGTCTGTTCTAAATCTAGCTACAGGCTTCTGATATAGTGCATCACATGATACCTTGGAGGAAGGAAGTGTTTAGCTTCAACTTTTCTCTCACAGATGATGTAAAATGACCCACAACATCTGGTGAATGAAGCTATACCCTGCAGCACCCCAACACAAGGCAACAGTTTCTTTCCCCTTGTGGGTGATACAATGATGAATGGGGATGTAAAGACATGGCAAAGAGAGACACAAACAGAGCCAGAATGAAATAATGCTGGGACCAACAAGTATCACACAGACAGCTAAGTTTTGGAAAGCAAACTCAGTAACACAAACTGACTGTGGTAAGCTCCTATTAATATTTGACAGCCAAGCAAAAATGAGCAAATGAACCCTCAGGCTATCACTGAATGTGTTCTCATTCACCAATGATCCATATCAGCAGTCTAGATATATATAATTTGTCTTAAATTGAGTGGACATCACAAATACATGATACCAAGAGTTTGGACAGTGCTTTCAACAGTGGAAAATAAGTTGGTATCCTTGTCATGCGGGCATTTTAGAAACGTATAACACAGGTACCATGAATATAATTTAATTCTTTGATTATAAAAGCATGAGTTCCCATTCTTCTTCGTGAAAATGTTTGTTTTCTTTGTCAATATCATAATATACAGTAGCATAGTGACTAAAACTTTAAGAAGGAATAAAAAGTACTGAAGTTTATTAATAATTTAAAAAAGGAGATTGGAAATAAGAATTTAAATTGCGTCCAAAAACTCACTATACTTGCACAACACTGCAACAGCTATGGCTTCTACACATGTCAGCAAAAGGTGCAGAGAAAGTTTCATTTTTTGCTGTTCTCTAACAGATTCATGGTTTGGGACAGGGAACATAAAAATTACATTCTTATAAAGAAGATCTACTCAATTAAATAGTTTGCACACTGTCAAAAGGAAATAAGATGAGGGATAGTAAACAAGTAAAAATTTGGAAGGAAACAGTCATGGCCCATATGACTGTGTCTTGGCATTCTACTGGAGAGACTGAACAAAAATGTCAGAAACCTGCCATCCCAATTAGGATTCGAACCTGTTAAGTTCTGTAAGCAGTACAAACAGAATAGATATTTGTTAATAAATATTGCCGATGTTGCATCTTACAAGCAACACTCCATACATGTAGTAACTTCTAAACAAATTGTTAGATGAGTGTTGTATGTAACACGGAATATCAAGAGATATTTGTTAATTAATAAACAATGTGCAACAGGATGCTACAATATAACCTCAGAATAGACATACTGATATGTGATAGCACTGACCTGACATCCTCACTGGTTGGTAACCACTGGGCCCTCTCCTCGAGTCTAGTGAGAGTGTCCTTTCCTTCACGGCGAAGACGTTGAAGATCAGGGTCATTGAGGGCCCGGGTTAGTGCCCGGTGTTGGTGGTGGAGCTGGCGCCGCGTCACTTGGCTCTGGCCCTCCATGGACCTCAGCTCTGACATGATGGCCACTAGACGGCGGCCACACATGTGGCACTGTGCAAGGAAGGGCTCCACTTCCTGGTGAACGTACATACACAGCTTCATCCTCAATTCTCTTTTTCCAAAAGATCAAGGGTTTGCAATGAGGATCTTTGCTATCTGGATAACTGTCAGTAACAAGACTGAGAAAGGTATAGTCCATAACACAGTACACAATATTACCAATGACATCCTTTGCAGTTTATTAAATTTACTTGTGATCTGTTAATCCACTTATGGTATATGTAAAGTTACCGCCACGGCTGATTAAGCACCGCTCTGTGAAGGAGTATGGCAGGTGGAAGTATATCTTCATGTATTCTTAATCTCAGCACTGGATGTTAGTGAGTTAGGTCTGTCTCAGAAGAGTGGGCTTTAATATGGGTCAATATATTTGGAAACTGGAATTGCCCAACAATATTTTAGAGGAAACCTCAGACACGAAATTAAAGAAAGGTCCATTTTTAGCAGTTTAAATGCTCATACTAAGTTAAACACAGAGAGACAAACAAAAAAATGTGACCTCCATATAAGATGTTCTATTTTACTTTGTAAAAAATGCCTAAAAAGTGATGGACTCTGATCAGATGGCTTCGGAATCAGTGGAGTCTTTTATTCAATGAGTACAGACAAATGTCTGACTTAAGGTGAGGTGGCTGGGCACTCATTTCCATATAATGCTGAACTACAGTGAGTGCAATGTGAGTGCACACTCAGATGGAAGAGTCCGATGCCCCTAGTGTCAAATCTGAGCTATCAATAAATGGTCCAGGGATTGACACAGGCTTTTTCTAATGGAACATTTCCCTCCTTATACTAACAACAGATACAGATTCAGTTTGCAAAACGTAGCGTCCGAAAGAACAAAAGACAAAGGATGAAAGATGTTTACTGTGACACAGCGGTCAGAAACACTCACACTCAGGTGCTGCGTAATCCATGAATCGCCAATGGACATAAGAAAGCAAAACACTAGTATCAAATTCAACCTACCTTGTAAAATTCAACCCACTCTAACTGATCATGAGACAAGCGTCCCCCACAATTCACAGGAGCCTGATCTTCTGAAATGTATTGATGCAAGTCTCTCTCATCGGTTACGACATGACACTACAAGAGAAACAGATCTGTTTTAACAGAATATCATATCTTACTCAGCAGAAAATGTATATTTCTGAAAATATCACAAATTTCTGGCCAGATGAATAAAAGGAAGCATACAACTTTACCTGTAACTTAATATAAACAATCATTAACCCCTAATGGTTTACAATGTGAAGTTCATTGAAACACCGTTTTAAAAGCTGTTTTATAGTTCCCACAAAACACTATATTTCATATGAAGTTTCAACTTGAGACTAAGGGGTATGTAATGTTTCACTCTTGAGGAAAAGAGGTATGCAACCTTTCACTCTTAGGACCATGGGGTATTTGGACTGAGAGAGAGACTTGTACCTTGAGGCCACTGGTCCCCAACACACTGTATCTCTGCTGCAGTCTGTCAGTGACCGAAGTCGGCTGCCAGAGGAGCACGCGGCCAATCTTCATGTGTACCTACAAAACACGGCAATACATTTCAGCAGAGGGAACAAGCAAGATGCAATACAATGGTAACTGCAGTGACAAATCTCAACAACTTACTTCCACAAGAGATAGAGCTTTATCCAGAAGGTCAAGTGCTGTCTCTTCAGGCTCAGCAGAGAGGACCAACACAGCAAAACCATCCTTTAATTTCTCTGACCTGTAAATGAAAATATAAAACATTATAAATAAGAATTACTTCACAGGATTTTTTTTTTTACAATTCTAGATTCATTTTAATATTATCTCATCTAGAACCTGATCACAAAAATGGAGACCCATATTCTGCTCTTCTGTGTTAAGACACTGTTATGTACCAACACTTTGGAGGAATATGCTCTCTCCATCTTCAGGATGGACAATTTACATGGAGGCAGTATTTTTCTCTGAAACAATAGAAAACTCACCTACAAGACTAAAATACAAAGTTGTAATCAAGAAGACTGCAGTATGAATCTAAACTTCATTCCTATAAGTGTTTCTATGGATTGGAACAGAAGTGTGGAACCTGACATTCTCACATTAGCAAATATTAATCTTAATGTCTTCTAGAATGTGATATTTTCGAGTGTTCTCCTTCATTTTCCTTTATTGCAGTCTTTCTCCTCCCTACACCCTTACCACCAACTATTCTTTCCCACATGACTTAATATCAGACATACTCCCTACATAACATAATACAAATTCTTCCTTTTGTTTGTTATTTACTCTACAGCTGGCTTATTATTCTTTTTGGTATTTATGTTTTCTATGTGTTTTGAATTATTGTTCTGTTCTCTCTGACATTACAGTTCCACTTCAGTGGATAATCACATTGGGAAATATTGCAAAGTGCAAAGAGAGACTTAGGCATGTTGATACTTCAACAAACAAGTGCTTTGAGGCTTCAAGACATCTGTTTTTCTTATGTCTGAAGAGATGTGACATACTGCTAACACTTGCAACACTTTCAAACATCAGAACATTTAATTCCAACATAAATCTTTACTAACAAGACTGCAGAGGAGCTTGTCATCAGAAGGCGATGTGGACAAACAGCAAAATACATCAAATGTGGGTAGGAACCAGTTTACAGTTGGCGTTTATGAACTAGGCCAGCTTTTTTTTTTTATTTGGACTGTTTTCAAACAAATATGGGCTTGGAAGGCTCAAGAGAAAAACTTAGTATTTTCACAAACTTTACAAATATAAATGTATCGTTTTTATATATCTGTCAACACAACAATCAAATAAATAAGCACTTCCACATTTGTGTCAGCTGAGTTTATTTAACTTATGGTACAGCTACTCAACATGGCAGCATGTTTCTTCCCTCTCACAACATGTTTTGCCTCTCAGAAGCCATCATCAGGTTGATACACTACATAAAATCATAAAATACTGTAATGTAACTGTTATCAGTTGCACAGCTGTACCAAGTTAAATAAACTGTTGAATAAACTCAGCTGACACAAATGTGGAAGTGAGTTATTTGATTGTTCTGTTGCTGGATAAAACTCATATACTGATACACACAACAGGATCTATTCCCCAAAGAATATGTAAATTATTTACATTAAGACACACAGATATACATAAACACACACAGACATAAAATTTACACAGAGACACATGTGCACAGAGAGAGAGGTAACTAGACTTGCACATACACAGAAACACACAGGCACAAAGAGACATACAAAGTCACATACACACACACACACACACAAGTTAATCCTGTTTATTTCGACAGCCCTGCACCCACTGACCTTTACAAATGTATTACATCCTGCCATATCGAAGATGGATATCAAGGGCCTCTGGTGTCCTTGAGGATCCATCTTAAAGAATATTTCGATTTCCAGACATCGATACTGTAGCGTCATACACTGAACAGATGCACAGGTGTTTACAGACATGAGTTATTGATTTGTTAGTCCGTACATTCAATTTGCTTCCTGTAACTGGGATAAATCCTTCAGAGCAAATTGACATTTTTGAGTCCGTTACACGACAAGGCAATGATATACAAGGGGTGGGGGGATTCATGACTAATGAGAAAACTTAACAAGGACCTTCTGCTTCTTGACTGATGTACAACTGTGACTGCTCTTCCTGACTGTCGAGTACAATTACGAAACGTGTTAATTACAAAGGCCATGTTTGTTTAAACTTCTGACAGTCTCTACATCTCAACAGAACTTTCACTCATAAAAAGGGAAACTCAAGAGAAATTTTCTCCCCTCTCTTGTTAAAAATATGTGCTATTTGAAATGCTGAAACTGAAAATGAAGATTTTTAACTAGTTGCAACACAAAAAAATGTATTTGCAAATCGTGAAATCTGAGGTTCTCACAACGGTGATTAGGAATAATACTGCCATCTGGGAATGACGCCGTGTAGTGTGGTACAAGTTTACAGACGTTGCCTCACTCTTTCTGCTTCGAAGTGTAAGCTAAATAAGCTGTATGCACAGTAAAGCACTCGGGCGCTTAGGTGACTTGCATTTCAACAATGAAAATGGAGACAATGCATTCCTCTGACTTGTCGGTAAACTTTGCTGGCAGACAATACCCATTATTTGCAAGTTATGCGATTAATGGAAATATTCAACACTCTTATTTTTCTCTGAATCATTCAGAAATGTTGGGGGTCTGTTATGTTAGTATTCTTAAGAAAGTTATGAGTTCGAGACGAAATTAAGAGCAGACTTAATTCAGGTAATGCCTCCTACCATTCATTTAAGATTTTGTCTTCGTCTGCTGTCTAAAAAGCAAAAACTGGAACATGTGAAACTAAATTTGTAGCATAGTTTTATTATATGGGTGTGAAACTTGGTCTCTGACATTAAGGGAGGAACATAGACTGAGGGTGTATGAGAACAGGGTGCTGAGAATATTCGGACGAAGGATGGATGAAATAGTAGGAGGTTAGTAAAAACTGCATCATGAGGAGTCCATAACTTGTTTTCTTCACAAAATATAATTAGAATGATCAAGTCAAGGAGGACGACATGAGCACGGCATGTAGCACGCATGGGGAAAAAATAGGAATGCATATAGAGTATTGGTGGGAAATGCAGAAGGCCAACAGGAAAACCTAGACGTCGATGGGAGGATAAAATTAAAATGGTTCTTAGAGAAATAGGATGGGGTGGTATGAACTGGATTCATCTCGCTTTCAATAGAGACCAGTGGCGGGTTCTTGTGAACAAATTATTAAACCTTGGGATTCCATAACATGCCTGGAAGTTCTTGAGTAGCTGAGCGACTGGCGATTTCTCAAGAAGGGCTCATCTCCATGGAGTTATTTAGTTAAAAAGACTCCGTGATTAAACCAACCGAGCGACCGCCACTTGTCGGCAAAGTTAGTACCAAGTTTTGTGGATAGAGGGTGTCGCGTGGTCAGCACAACGGATCCCCACGGCCTTTAATCTCGGTTTTCTAGACCGGAGCCGCTACTTTTCCATCCAAGTAGCTCCTCAGTTATTCTCACGAGACTGAACTGACTCCGTTCCAGACCCACTACTTCTCAGAAAATCTAGTACAGCCGGGAATCGAACCCGGACTGCTGGATCTGTATCCAGTAACTCTGACCACTAGACCATAGGTATATGGAGTTAAGGAGTTTCATGCTTTCAGTAAAATGTTTCTGCAAACCAAAATCCACCTGCATATTCCTAAGGCTCAAATTTTATTCGAAGATTTCCCTTACTGCAGTCTGCCTGCCACATAACACTATGCTGCGTCCTTGATAACACATGTAAATGGTGACGGCAATGTAAGGATTAATACCTCGGCAATGAAGCGTAGTACAACAGCACGGACGCGATCTGGTGGCTGTCGAGGGAAGCTTTTGCGACGTTTGTGGCATCGAATATGACCAACGGACGTCCTTTTAGGTCGCAGGTACCTGTAAACATGAGAAGACACGTAAATGCGTACTGTTACATCATACGATAAAGCTACTTGCCTTATCTCAAAACCACGTCTAGTGGAACCAGTAAGGGCACTCCCCCCACCTCCCGACCCGGTAATGTAACATTTACGTTACATGAATTGCGCAATGCGTCGCTGAGCCCGGTAAGAAATTAGTGGGTATTTAATGACATCAAATCAACTACATGTCGAATCACAGTAGCTGTGGGTTCTTGGAATGCTCGAATACGACAGTCACGGGTTCGAACACGGCTCTGAACATGAATACATATATGTCCATTCTTCTGTTCTGTCCCATGCAGGGGTTGATCTGCGCTGATCCCCCGCCCAAGTAATCCTGCCACACGGCTATAAGTTTAATTAATTAATTAATTAATTAATTCTTGATTGAAAGATGCCAGAAGGGCTGAATAATTACACGTATAAATCAAGATAAAGGACGACGCATCCGAGCTGGTGTAAAGGTCATGATGAAGTGACTACAGACGCGGTCTAGACTGGTAATCGGATTTAGTGGACGCTTTAACACATGACTCGTGACTACACTTTACAAATCAGTCACAGTCACCTTCTGGTCGCTTAGAAAAGTACTTCTAAATCTGACAAAATTAACATTGCAAAGTAAGGGCAAACATCATCCACTTAAAAAGATTTTACAAGCATAGCTACAGACACACTCCTAAGACGAATGGTAGAAGATGCTTACAGTAAAATGAGTAAAAAGAAGAACCCGTAATTCATGTCAAAGCTAGACGCTGTTACACTGTTGAAATTTCTGTTCCCACTTAAATTGAGAGGTTAATTTTCTGGTCCTTTAACTCTCGTGGACAAAAGAGCAAATCATATGCAAATTTTAATTGATGATAATATCAGAACAACTTCCACTGCGTCCCTTTTCGGCGAGAGACGATCGATATGAAGCGTTGCTAGCTTCATGCCAATTACATTGGCTTATACAGGAACGTCACCTACTGACCCAAATTGCCAACTCTTAACATCAGTTACTGTAGTCTCAGGAGCACGAACATATCGAGCATGTGCTCTCAAGGGCTAACAGGAAGGGAGGTACCCGGTTTAAATCTCGGTAGGATACCAACTATCCTGACATATTTCCTGCTTTTTCTCAGTCTCTCCAGACGATGTAAGTAGCTTCGACTGTACAGCGTCCAATGGTCACATGTTTAACGAATGATATACCGGAAAACCGGTGGAGGGAGGCGTCGTAGCATAACTTCATATACTATTTCATACATTTCCTTGGAGGAACCGAAAAAAATCACGGAAAACTGTCAAGATAATCGGTTTCCCGGCCAAAATACTTATTTTAATTAGGTATGAGGCAGAGGCAAGAGATCTGTCTTTATTCCACAGCGTCCAGACCGTCTCCGGGGGCCACCCCGCCTATACAATGGGTACCAGGGGCGGTTTCTCTCGAGGTGAAGAGACAGGAGCGTGAAGCTGACCACTCACTTCCATCTAGTGAAGCGGTCAAGAATGGTGATGCTTAATTAAGCCCAGCAATAACTCCACATTTACATTACTTCACGTCGCTGTTAGTAATTTGGGCTACATGACGTCGAACAGTATTGCTATTAATGACTGATTAACTGAAACGATTTGGAAGGAAACAAACGCTGTACAATCCCACGTTTGAATGAAGGACTAAGGAAGCCCTCAGCGAAGATAGTCGGCGTTTCGGCCTAGATTCGAATCGGAAACGTCCTGAATACAAGTAAGAATAGTTATCACTTCATTCGACTGGCTGGGTCGCAAAGAAATTGAATGAAATTAACGGGGGGGAATGTATCCTATATTTTGATACACACTATATTACACTGCTGGTTTCGTATTTAAAGACTTGTCTGTGTGGGCGGGTAGGGTAAAGCGGAACAAGTACACGGAATCAATTCTCATTATTCGCTGAGAGGCAATCGTGAATGCTGTGTATTGGAATTCTGCTTCCCACGGGGATCCTGACCTTGCGCATGCGTGGAACAGGGACCCTTACTACACACAGTACCGCTTCAGTACCTGCTGCAATACAAATTTATTGTTTCCACTAACAATGTCAATATTTGAGTACAGTTTCCATAACGTATGATCGGTTAATGATGTAAAACGATATGTATTGTCTTTAGAAGAGTACATAACTGGATATAAGAACAGATGACAGCGCAGAAAAGCCACAGATGCATGAGTTCTGAGTACGATCAGGGGGGACACAGCTTCTGCATACCTAACAATAACTCCGATCTGGTGAATTATGCGAAGGAGTAATGAATGTTCATGTAGCGAGACGGTCATTAACACTTCACCTAAAGGCCAATTCCAATCGATAACAAATTGACCGGGCCAGCTGGCTCAACCGGTAACGCTTCTGACGGGTATTCAGGAGGAAACTTACTTACTCGTGGAGCCGAGCCCTTCTGGAGGAGCCGCCAATTCTGCAGCTACTTAAAAATGTCCCTGCATTTTATGGAACCCGAAGGTTCATTACCGTAACAGCCCTCCACTGGTCCCTATCCTGAGCCAGATCAATCCAACCCATACCATCTCACCCTATCTCTCTAAGATCCATATTAATATTGTCCGCCCACCTACTTCTTGGTCTTCCCAGTGGTCTCTTTCCTTCTGGCTTTCTCATCAATACCCTATATGCATTTCTCTTCTCTCCTATTCGTTCTACGTGCCCTTCCCATCTCATCCTCCTTCACTTGATCATTCTAATTATACTTGGAGAAGAGTACAAGTTGTGAAGCTCCTCGTTATGCAGCTTTCTCCACCCTCCTGTCACTTCATCCCTCTTCAGTCCAAATATTCTCCTCAGCACCCTGTTCTCAAACACCCTCAGTTTATATTCCTCCCTTAACGTCAAAGACCAAGTTTCACACCAACACAGAAATTCAGGAGGAAGCTACGTAAACCGGCCATCCTGACTGTGGTGTTTCGTGCTTTTCCTCAGCCCCTCCAGCAAAGTGCCCGACATAACATCTCCAGTTGGCATGGTTACTTCTAGATAGACCATGTCCACTTCCTTTATTCACTTCGACGTCACATAGGCCGAGTTACCAACATCATTATACACTTCTGTAAAGGCTATCCATGTAGCAGGACGTCGAGGCTCCCATATTTTCTCTAGACAATCGGCTCACAGATGACGGTGAGGTTGTCAGACTTACGCGCCGGCCGACCTTTACCCGCAGGAAGATTCCTGGTACTCATTTCTATTAGAGGCTGAGCCGACCCCAGGGTCACAGCGCGGCTGGATTACGTAAACTGAAAAATCTAATAACCTCATCGGGAATCGAACCGGCAATCTTCCGACTTGTAGCACAGTATGAAGCACTGTAACTAAGCCCCTGTCACAACCATACACTCCCCGCAATTCTTACCTCGGTTGATGGACTCGACTAAACCCACTGCGCATTCTCTAAGAGAGGCAAGGTCAAGAAACACGGACTGTAGTAACATTTATAAATTTCTCTTAGTCAATATTTCACATATCCACAAACAGAGATCGCTTCTATTCTTTCTTGAAATCAGAAAGTAAGCACTTTATGCCTTGTAGTCACACTTTCATGGTTTCACTGCCTACATGAGAGTTGATTACACGTGCTCTTCCATCTCAAAACAAACAAGACAGGCACTTCAGTTCTTTTGTAGTACAAAATATCTCCACTCGCAATCCAACGCCATTGTCGCTACTTGCAAAATATTTATGCTCTTATATCGCGCATTAACGCTGCTCCTACAAGGGTTACGCGCTGGTTTCTCGACAGGGGGCCTCGGCTCGAATCCCGAGCGACTCCAAGTGCGCTTAATGAACGAAAAGAGCAGCCCTTTCTCGATGTTCCTACGGTTCGAATGGATAAACTGGTCGTGAGTCTCAAGGAGCTTGACGCCAAGACGGACTGGCGGTTAACCGCCCGTTGTAAAGCAGCTCTGACTCTGACTTTAAGTTAGTGCAGTGAAGCGGAGTGGAATGAGTTGGCTGGTGAATGAGTTGGTGGACTGCTGCAGTTCAGTACTTCTAAGTTGTTGCTGTAGCTGGTAGCTGAGACACGGGGTTATTTCGGGAACGCAAAGGAGGGGAACGGCCGTCTCTGGAAGCCATCACCAGGCAACGGCTGGTGAAAACTTGGCAGACCGAGAAGACTCAGTCCATTCTGTAATGAACTCCAGTGTGTGAATTAGAGGTAACGCTATAGTTGGAGCTACGATCTGTAAGTGGCCAATAAACCCAATTACCAAACCAGACCGTTTCTATAGTCACACTCTATCACGTGACAGTATGCTGATGTCTCGCCAGTAATAGTTCAAAATCTGATTCAGAAGGTAATTAACAGCAGATTGAATTCGTGTATTGCTTACTCCCACCCTCTTCAAAAACATTTGTTTTCTCGTCTGATGTCTGAAAACGTAAAAATTATGATGCATAAAGCCATAATTTTGCCTGTAGTTTTGTATGTGTGTGAAACTTGGTCTCTTAAGATTGCGGGAAGACTGACGGCGTTTGAGAACACAGCAATAAGAATTTTCTAACCCAAGACGGATTAAATAACAGGAAGCCGGAGGAAACTGCATAATAAGGAGCTTCATAACTTAACTCTTTGCACAAATATAACTACAATCATCAAGTCAAGGAAGATGAGATGTTCAGGGAATGTAGAATGCATGGGAGAGAAGAGGAATGAATATATACAGAACTTTGGCGGAAGAGACAGATGATACCACTACGGTGACAATAATGGTGGAAGGATAATATTAAAATTAATCTGAAAGAAATGTGGTTGGATCATATGGACTGGATTCATCTGGCTCAGGAGAGGGACCTGTGAATGGATCCTCGAATTCCATAAATTTCGGTGCACGAAATGAATAACTTAACACCTATTAGCTTTTGAAGAGGGGCTGCAGGGAGGTAATTATTAGCCTATAACGAAGAGAAGGTGGAGCAAATGGTTGGTAGCACTGTCAGATCTTGAGCATTCTACTCTTCATTTAGGGACACCCAACTGAGATGTAGCAACTGCAACGGTAAGACCTGCACGTAAATATTCTCAGATTTTACAGTACACAGTGGGGCAATGTTAATTACCTCACCTTCTCGTCGTTCGAGGGTAGTAATTAAGTACCTGAACCTACCAGGCAGTTGGATTCCAGACATAAGCAATTTCTCGGGCAATTCCGCGATGCTCTTCGGTGACGTCAGTTCTACTTCCTGTTTTGTCGCCGCATCTGCAAACGAAATATACAGTGTCAGAAAGGCACATTTTCAACATAAATTTGGACAGAATGTCCTGCGTTTCAATTCTAGCCTGACACATCGTCTCAGCGCACAGTAGTATCAGGGATAAACGCAAGTGTAAACCTGTCCCTGTGGTTAAATAAGCACAACACAATATAGACGTATGGAGGAGTACAAGTATAGCTCCACCTATTCTCAATCTCTACATTAGAAGAATGTGAGTGATCCGGTTCAAGACCTGTTGGCCTTACCCTTGGGAAATAAGTCCTTGGTATCCGCTGAATAGGAGGCTGAGTGGGGCTCCATTACCAGTAAGGACCCTGTCACGGAGCGGAAAATGGCTTTCTCCTTCCGAGAATTCAACCTCTGAATATTTGGGCTCCTAACCCGCAGCCTAGTCTCTATATACCGACTGAGATGGGTCTATTAAATGTTAACCCGGAGGTTGAATTTTGAAAGCACGTTTGTTATTTATTACCCCTTGATCACTGATCAAGCCGATCAGAGTGGCCGCTCGGTCTAAGGCATGAACTGTCTTCGCTCGGTCGAAGACTGGGATTGTGGGTTCGAATCCCACTCAAGACATGGAGTCTGTACGCGTTCATTCTGTGTTTGTGTTGTTCTGTGTGTAAGTAGCGGCCTTGCGACAGGCTAATCACTTGTCCATGGGGTCCTACCGATGAAACTGAAATAGCGGCCAAGGTCCAACAAATGGACTGTACAGCTATAGACAGACAGATATAGATAGATAGGGAGAGAGATAGCGGCCTCTGTAGTCTAGGGGTAACGTTCCCACCTCATGACTGAAGATACGCGGGTTCAAACCCGGCGGAGGTCGTGGAATTTTTAAGGGCGGAAAAATTCAGGGAACAAGTCCTCCGGGAGGGACTTTAAGTCGTGGGTCCCGTGTCGTAAAATATCCTCATGTCTCTATAGGCAAAAAGTTTCCCGCCCAAGTAGTTTCCAATGCCTCTGGTAGATGGGGGAAGTATCGGGTACCGAGGGCCGACCTCGCTGGCTGAACAGGGCTGATAGCACGCACCAGTATCGGTAGGGTATGGCGACTTGTAGAATATAAAAGGGGGGCGTACAATAGACTATTAGTCGCGGTGCATGGGGAAACCCACCCCCTCCAATAATAATAATAATAATAATAATAATAATAATAATAATAATAATAATGATAGATAGATCACTGATTAATTCCTAGATTTCGTCCTATCTCTGTTAACGCTTACAGTGGTTACTATATGTACCACCTAGTTTGGCACTGCAAAATTGTTCATTGTATCCACAAAAAATGTATTTGTGTGTTCCGTATGACTCTCACAATAAACAGGTATTGTTTCCCTTAACAGCATCAACCGGTTGGGCTTTGTAGCGGAGACGGAATGTGTTTCCTGTGAGGTACGAACTGAGTTCTTTAAAGTATCTACATGAACCGAATGCTTTAACGGGTTAACACGTTATATTATCTACAGCAGTCATGTCCAACGCGTCGATCGCTTTGGTCGATCTCACAGGCCTATGGGAAATAATACGTGAAAAGCATGTCAATTCACTTGCAATATATTATGATTATATTCAGATTTTGAAGGGAAAATACGTATTAGTCATTCCTATTTTTCTGTTCTTATGTAGCTTATGTAGCTCTTATTTTGTTAATTTCGAAAGCGTCTGTGTGCATGTGTTAGATAAAACAGTTACCTCAATATAGTGGCAAATGCAACGCCTCAGTATCCTTGCCAAAAAAAGGGCAATCTGGAACACATTATAATGCTCTCCATAGCAATAAGTGTGGTGCTGATTTTCCACCCAAAAGTGAAATTCGTAAACTTAAGCTCAAAGGACTTAAATCGAAATTAGCTGCTCAACAACAACTGATGGAAAAATAAAGGTCACTTTCTAACAATGCAACCAAATCATCGGACAAGATCAGCAATCTGATCGTTAAAAAATGCAAACCCTTCACTGAAGGGGAATTTGTAAAAAAGTGTTTTCTTGAACTAGCTGTTAATCTTTCTGAAGGATTTAAAGGTAAGAAAGAGATCATAGCTACTATTCAAGATCTTCAATTATCAGGAAACACCACTGTGCGGTGAATAGAAATGATATGTGGAGAAATAGCTGAACAGTTACTGAAAGATGTTTCCAATTGTGTTACTGTCTCCCCCCAACTGGATGAAGCTACAGACATCAGACACAGCCCAGTTACTAATTGCTTTTACAACAAACATCACGTGTCGTGTTATTTTTACTAATATTTTTGCTTAAAGCGACGCACGGCGATTGGAGAGGGTGGTAGATCACGGGCAGTTTTGACACTAAAAAGTCGATCACAACCTGTCTGAAGCTGGACATGCCTGATCTACAGTAAACCCAACTTCTTCATGATATGACAACCCTCATAACATTTGCTTAGCAGTATTTATTATGAACATCTCCATTATTGAATTTTCTCCAACTTCGGGTTCTTCCCTCTCTCTCTCTCTTACATTCAAATATTCTCCTCTTGCACTTCAATGTCAAATATCATCAATCTCGTGCATTCCCCGTTGTCGAGCACATTAAAACAATCACAATACAAAAGTAAATAAGAGGATATTACGTAAGATAAATGCTGTAGTCTTCTAGAGACATCAGCTATGTCGATGTGGAATGAAAATGTTTCAGATGCCTCCGCCAGGTTTCTAACTCAACAATGAAACTACTGATTGCCCGAGAAAATATTGGCACTAAAGAATTTTAATTGTTAATTCAGTACGTAAATACAATAAACTAAAATGCCGCAACCGTGTTACAACGTCAAATACATTATCGAAAGTACGGATCAATGTTGAATAATGCCGTCTTCTGGGATGTATCGCAGTGAATATATTGTGTGAAGAGACGTTTCGGAGGAACGTATTGCCTGAGCAGGTGGTTGCAACCCGAGACATGACGAAAGAAGATCGGAAAGAAACTTGAAAAATGCCGTCTTCTGGGGTGTGACGCCGTGCAGATTTTGTGTGGTGGCTGCTGACGCTGGTTCTTCGCTCGCATGTCTTTCTACCCTGATGATGAAGGCGATACTTTCCTCCGAAACGTCAGTTCACACAATATCTACAAGACGCCACATCCCAAAAGACATTCTTCATAGTCGTGGCCGTGAAAACCTCAAATCTTATACGGATCAATGTTGGTTACATTAATTCAAATGTGAGGCCTAACCCTGCGGCACGGAGGAAGGAAATAAACTAGGCAATCAGAAGCAAGCTCCTGTGGGCACGATTACAGTCAGATCCTAATCAGATGCAACGATCACAGCAATAGGAGGCAGCTGGGAGGAAACTGCACTTACACAGGGGGAGACTGATTGAGGGTGTGGGATAATGGCGGAGCAGCTGCAAACAAGGTTCACGTTTAAACAGTTGATTCTGACAGTTTCTGAAGAGACTAACAGCAGACAGTTGGCATATATAGTTACCTACTATTTCAGCACGTCAAGTACCGAATTCAGAATGTTAGGGGTTGCATGAAATGTAGTGCTTCGTATTACAAGGTCCCCTCTATTTACATTCGCGCTCGGTACTCCAATACACAAAGCATTAGGGCGACCTCTTCAATTAATTTAAATCTACGTCAAACACAGACGTGGAGTTAAGATGATGGAAAAGTTCAATGATGAGATCTTGAGGTTTATTTGTGACATTAAGAACTCATTTGTTCGTAAAGTGTATGTTGCTTTGTCTAAGTAAGGAAGCTTAAATAGGGTATAATGGAATTCGTAGGCCTGGACTTAGCTAGCAGAGCTTCACTGTTTCTTCTTGAGGTTCATTTCATGGCGCTGCAATTGCGTGGTGATACGTAATGAACCGGAAACAAAGTCCGCGCCATAGCACAAGCGGTTAGTCGCTGGATTCCCACCGCGGCGGCCCGGGTTCGATCCCGAGTCTGGTCAAGTGGGATCGGTGGTGGACAAAGTGGGGCTGGGGCAGGTATTCTCCGAGTACTTCAGTTTCCCCTGCCAATCTTCATTCCACCAAATTCTCCATTATCATCATCACCCGGGGCAGGTACAATAGGCCAATTACTGGCCGCCGTGCCGAGTGGACCAAGCTGGACTACACCCCCCACTACCTGAAGTAAAATCTTAAAGTTTGTTACGATGTACTCGTATTAATAAAATTATTGACTTTTTGTACGTTATCCATCATCCTGTTTTTTCTTTAAAAACAATGTTTCGGAAACTGGAGATCGTGTCTGCTCTATCGATTGGGCCAAACTAAGTATATTTTAAGGGCCGCGCCGTAGCTCAAGCGGTTAGTCGCTGCCTTCCCACCGCGGCAGCCCGGGTTCGATCCCGGGTCTGGTCAAGTGGGATTTGTAGTGGACACAGTGGCGCTAGGGCAGGATTTCTCCGAGTACTTCGGTTTCCCCTGTCAATCTTCATTTCATCGATTGCGCCACAATCACCTTCGCCTATCATCTGGAGCTGGTACAATAGGCCAGAAGTGGCCGCAGTACGAGGGACTTAGTCCCACCCCACTAGTAAAAAAGTAAAAGGTAAAACTATCCCTGTACCAAGCCATGAAGGCCCATGGGGTTGTGAGACGTTGAGGTTCCCACATTATCTAGACAGTCGGCTCAAAGATGGCGGTAAGGTTGTCAGCCTTACGCGCCGGCCGCGCTTTACTCCCCATGAAAATTATTTAATTAATTCCTGGTATTCATTTCTGTTAGAAGATGAGTGAACCCCAGGGCCATAGTGCGGCTGGAAGGATTAGGTCAATTGAAAAAATCCAATGACCTCATCGGGACTTGAACCCGCGACCTTCCGGCTTGTAGCATAACCCCTCAACCAACTACGCTACCGCGTGCCCCCTCCCACCCACTAGCAACAAAGAAAAAGTATATTTTAACCTTATTTTATGTCATAACTTTCATTTTGATAAGTTTATAGTTCATTGTACTTTTATGCTATGTACAGGACTACTACAAATGATTCATT